GATAGAGAGAGTAGTTTTCTGGTTTCTCTTTCTCTTTGTTGTTCCTTGCTTCTAAGGAAAATCCCTTGGTGAATTTCTCAGCCAGAAACACTAGAACAAGCCCAAGAACCGTTGAGCTTGTTCCACTTGGTCTCAGAGCCTGTTTTTTCCTCGTGAGTTGCTGCCGGGTCATTTTTGCACCATGGCCGATTCAGAGCGTGATGCCGCGGTTCGAGAGTTAGTAGCTAAGGAGGTGCAGGCTGCCCTGCAGAACGCAGCTGCACAGCAAGGAGTAGCTACAGCTCCGGGAAGCGTAGTGGGATCTATTTCCCATGTGAGAGCATCGATGCCGGACACGTTTGTTCCAGGGAAAGGGCAACCTGTGGTTCGACGATGGCTCTTCCTTGTGGAAGAATATCTACGCTTAAGTCACGTGGCTGGTGAAGAGTGGGCGCCGTTCGCCGGAACCCTACTCAGAGGCTCTGCGGTTGCATGGTGGCAATCGGTGCGACCTGCTATCCAAACCTGGCAGCAATTCAAGGAAGCTCTCGTTGCTTCATACGAACCTATCAACGCGATGGCAAGGGCTCGTGATCGACTTGCAAATATGCGGCAGCGTACTTCTGTAGCAGATTACATCGCTGAATTTCGTGACATCTCCACCGAAATTTCAGATCTTTCAACGGCTGAGGCGCTGGACAAGTTTAAGCGCGGGTTGAAAGACGACGTTAGGATGGAGGTAGAGGTGCAGGGCTGTAGTTCGCTTGAGGAGATGGCGCGTGTCGCTGAACGTTACGATGAGATTCACTTCGGTAACCGTCGCAACCGTTTCAACCGTGGGATGCGGTTCAGTCCGAATATGTTCCAGCCTATCCATGGGGAGCAGCGTGATGGTGCAGGTCCTACGCCGATGGAGCTGGATACGATTGACAAGAACAAGGAGAAGCGGAAGGGCTTTGCTGGAAATTGCTTCAAGTGTGGAAAACGCGGTCACAAAGCACTCAACTGCCCTACCAAGCCTAGGCAGCCGGGAAACAAGCCTCACCAGTAACCTCGGGGCGAGTTTCTGGTGGTGAGGAGTGCCCCACCTTGCTGACTTCATCCTCATCGCCGCTGCAGCAGGAGTCGGAAGGAGCCATAGTACTTCGGGGGCAGATTCGTGGTAAGGAGGTAAAGATGTTGCTGGATAGTGGTGCTTCATCCAATTTCATTTCTTCTCGGCTGGTGCATGAATTGAAGTTACCTGTGCAGAGCGGTACAATGGAGAGTACGGTGCGCATGGCAGATGGTGTAGTGAGGAGCTGTGGACCTGAGTTGTACCCGGTCAACTGTAACATAGGGGAGTTTCATGGAAAATTCCCTTTCCAACAGATCTGGCTTGACGGTCATGACATCATCTTGGGCAGGAACTGGTTGGCAGCAGTGAACCCTCAGGTGGATTGGAGAACCAGGGAGGGGAAGGTGCTGTTTGGGGGGAGGTTTGTTCGCCTACCAGTGGTGCAGCAGCAGGAGGGGATGACCTTGCAGCTGATTAGTGCGAAGCAGTTTGGTAAGGCCATTCGGGGGGAGGAAGCAGTTTTTCTAGGTCTCATCACAGAAGTTCAGCCTACATCACCTGACACAGTAACACCAACGGTTTTAGCATCACATGAGGATGAGGAGTTGACACGGGGTGTGGAGAAGCTGCTGGAAAAAATTTCAGGGGTGTTTCCTGAAGACTTACTGGCTGGCCTTCCTCCTAAGCGAGCTGCAGATCACAGGATAGAGCTGATTCCTGGATCCACCCCACCTGTTCGACCGACCTACAAGATGAGTGCAGTGGTGCTGAAGGAGCTGAAGAAGCAGTTAGAGGACCTGTTAGCCAAGGAGTTCATTCAGCCTAGTTCCTCTCCATACGCTTCTCCGGTGCTGTTCGTGCGGAAGAAGGACGGTTCTCTGCGGATGTGTGTAGATTACCGTTGGCTGAACAAGATAACAGTGAAGGACCGGTACCCACTGCCATGGATTGATGAGCTGTTCGAGCAGGTTGGTGAGGCACGGTACTTCTCAAAGCTGGATCTGCGTTCGGGGTATCATCAGGTGCGGATTCAGAGTGAGGACATCCCAAAAACAGCTTTCCGAACACGGTACGGTCACTATGAGTTTCGTGTGTTGCCATTTGGTCTCACCAACGCTCCAGCCACTTTCCAAGGCATGATGCAGAGCATTTTCAGTGATTTCATTGACAAGTTTCTGGTGGTTTTCATTGATGACTTGCTGGTTTACAGTCGCACCGGTGAGGAACACCTCAAGCACCTTGAGCTGGTACTTGCACGACTCAGTGAGCACAGATTGTATGCCAAGCGTTCCAAGTGTGAGTTCGGCAAAACTAAGCTCTCATTCTTGGGTCATGTCATTTCACATGGGAGGCTGGAGGTAGACAACAGCAAGGTAGCAGTCTTGAAGCAGTGGAAGCAGCCGAGTACAGTGAAGGAGGTGCAGGCGTTCTTGGGGTTAGCTAACTACTACCGGCGGTTTGTGAAGGGATTTGCAGCAGTGGCAGCACCTCTGACCGATCTCTTACGGAAGGACTCATCATTCTCTTGGGGACCATTGCAGCAGCAAGCTTTTGAGCAGCTCAAAACTTCTCTTACTTCACCCCCTGCCCTAGCAGTACCGAATCCAGAGCTCCCGTACTTCATTTGGTGTGATGCATCAGACGTTGCCCTTGGAGCAATTCTCTGTCAGGAGCAGGAAGCTGGGCTGCAGCCAATAGCCTTTGAGTCAAGGAAGCTGACTGTTGCAGAGCGAGCATACCCCATTCACGAGAGGGAGGCACTTGCTGTGGTGCATGCACTGAAGAAGTGGCGTTGCTATGTGGAGATGCAGCCCATCACGGTCTTCACTGATCACCGAACACTGGAGTACCTGAAAACACAGTCACAGATCACACCACGGCAGGCGCGGTGGGTTCAGTTTCTGGAGCAGTACGTCCCGAACCTTCAGATTGTGTACAAACCAGGGCGCTTCAATCCGGCAGATGTTCTGTCACGGCCAGCAGCAGAGGAGCTGAATGTCATGGGTGTGGTTACATGGGACCGCAACTTCATCACTCGTTTCAGCCGGGGTTACAACCGTGATCAGCTATACCAACAGAAAGCCCCTCATGACCCATCCTTCCTTTTCAGCAACCCTTTTTGGACCCGTGCAGATTCTGGTGCTGTGTGTGTACCTGATGACTCCAGGCTTCGCCAGTTGCTACTACACGAGTACCATGACAACCGGTCAAACTTCGGCAGTGACAAGACGTATGCTGCCATTTCTCGTGACTACTACTGGCCTGGACTGTCTCGGAGTGTAGCTGAGTACGTCGCTTCATGCCCTACCTGTCAGGTCAACAAGGCTCGCACCACTGCACCGGCTGGTCTGCTGCAACCATTGGAGATACCCACAGCCCCCTGGACTTGTGTTTCTCTGGATTTTATCACAGACTTACCCCGTACCCCTACAGGCTTTGATATCATTCTCGTGGTGATTGACAAGCTGTCCAAGATGGCACACTTCATCCCTACAACTGGCACGGTGACTGCTGCTGAAACTGCCAAGCTGTTTTTCACACACGTGGTGAGGCTACACGGACTGCCCTCAGCCATAATCAGTGACAGAGACACACGGTTCCTCAGCAACTTCTGGACTGCACTGTTTCAACTGCTGGGCACACAGATTCGACTCTCTACAGCCTACCACCCTGAAACTGACGGTCAGACAGAGCGCATGAACAGAACCCTGGAGGATGCGCTACGCTCGTGTGTGAATGCCATACAAACTGACTGGGATCAGCACTTGGCAGCAGTGGAGTTTGCCTACAACAGCAGCCCCAACATTGCCACCGGAGAGCCACCGTTTCTGTTAGCTACTGGACAGCTACCACGCTCAGTCACATCCCTCCCTCACTCTCTTCATTTCCCTAACCCCACAGCAGCAGATTTCATCTCTTCTCATCACCGCATTCTTCAACTTGCCCGAAGGAAGCTTCAGCTTGCACAAGAGCGCCAAGTTCGCTATGCCAACCAGCATAGGCGTCACACCACTTTCAGAGTTGGTGATTTGGTGCTGCTTTCAACGGCTAACCTGCCCCTGCTGAATGCTGGAACTTCTCGCAAGCTCGCTCCCAGATTCGTTGGACCATTCCCTATCACCAAAGTTCTCTCACCGGTCAGCTACCGCCTTCAACTCCCTCCTCACATGACCATACACCCTGTTTTCCATGTTCATCTTCTTCGTCCTTACCGTACTCCCTCTCACCCATTCCAGCCCCGCCCACCCATGTTCTCTGCCCATCCGGACCTGCATGAGGTCGACACCATCCTCTCACACCGTGACACCCCGGTTGGCCGTGAATATCTCATTCACTGGCGCAACACCTCACCATCTGAAGACTCATGGGAGCCGTTCTCCAACCTCAGCCATGCTCCTCGTGCCATTGGAGTCTATCTTGCCTCATTGGCACCGAGGACGGTGCCTTTAGGGAGGGGAGGTAATGTAACAAGGGGCCCCTGCGCGGGAGCCAGCGTGAAGTGCACGGGAGGTGGAAACATGCAGCAGCCGCGTGCAAGGGTGAACGTGGGCAGCGCTGGGGAGAACGTGGGCAGGACGTGGGGGACTCACGTGAAGAGGACGAAACAGAGGTTTCGTGCCTTGACTGACTTTGGGGGACTTCCGCGTGGGACAGGTGGCGAAAGTCCAGATTTGGAGGAATAGAAATGTAACACGTGTGTGGGTGCAGCGAGGTGTACAAATGTGAGTAGAAATATGGAATGCGGCTCGATGTTGGGGCTGGCCACCCGAATCGACATTCCGAGCCGCATGTCTGAATTGTAAATGTACTGTACATATAAATGCATTAGTAGGATAGAGAGAGTAGTTTTCTGGTTTCTCTTTCTCTTTGTTGTTCCTTGCTTCTAAGGAAAATCCCTTGGTGAATTTATCAGCCAGAAACACTAGAACAAGCCCAAGAACCGTTGAGCTTGTTCCAATAGGAAATGAGAAATGATGCGTTGGAGCTCTTGCGATGCTTCTCCGTTCGACGCGCTGCCATGGCACTGCGAGAAGCTGTCGACCGTCCACGATGGTTATGGCTGACAATCGTGCTGTCCTCGGCGGTCCACGTTATCGCCGCGCCAAGCGCTAACGAAAGTATGCAAGACCGCTGTTCAGCACGAAGCCCGTCGCGTCTATTAGTAGACACGAGGCTCGTGCATTTTCGTGACAGGTTCGCTTACGGCTCAGTCACACTACTCATGCTCGTCTCGTCTTGTTTGGGCATGAAAAGACGATTATTTAGACGCCTCAAAAGTCGCACTGCTGCGGCTGCTGGGGCTGGGCGTAAAAGGGGTATCGTTTTCAGATGTGCGACATACGCCATGTCTCGATCCGGCCCTGTGTAACAAGTGGCCAACGTAGTAGCGATATCATCCAGTTTGATTTGAACCGGAATTGCGGACGCACCTTTCCAACTGCGACGTTCTCTAGCTGTAGACTATGCCCCCCCTCTTTCCCCGCTCGCTTTCCCTCTCTCCTATAACCCTTCCGACAATTCCCTAGTTTTTTCGAGCCCCCGTATCCCTCCTTTATTGCCCTTATTCACCCGAATCCCGTCTATCCTCTTAATTATGCTTATCCTCCGTGATTCCCTAGGCGCCAGCGTTGAGAGCGATTCTCCAGCGCCGCGGGTACACGTGGAGGGCAGAGTGGCGGAGTTCGAGGGCGCGCTCAACTACCACGTGCCCTCGCTTTACAGGTCGACTCCTGATGCCCCAGCCTGAATACGAGTTTTGCTTTCTAGATTTCTCGCTGCTGATTTCGTTACATTCTGAATAAGAAAGGCACTTTCCAGGAATTTCAAAGTGATTCCATTACAGCTATTTAGGGTTTCGAGATGTTCTCGTAGGACAAATTTCGTTACTTACTGAGTGAGTTGCAAGCCGATTTCAGCTGCCACGTGGCAGTGCTCTACAGGGCCGTTGGAGATAACAATAAAAACAGTTTCAAGTAACTTCGAAACCAGCTTTATTGCTACATGCCAACTCCGTTCCAGTTTAATCCGTCCTGATAAAGCAAAAATGTAATGTGGGAGGGAGCTGAATACGCATGTCTCTTTCTCGCACTCCCCTTTGCTTCTCACTCACCCCTCGCCCCCCTCTCTCGTTCTCCTCACCCAACCACACCAGAAACCACCCCGAGCGATCCGCCCTCAAAATTCACCCGCTGGACTTCCCCCTGGACCTCACTCATCTACCCAACATAATGATGGGGTACTTCGAACACCTACCCCACCACCCTCCGCCCTCGGACCCCCAGAGCCCTCTCCTTCTTGCCTGCCACGGCCCGCCCTGCCCCTCCTTTGGCGCCTGCTCGGCCCGCTTCCCCAACGTGCAGGCCTGCTGGAACCCCCACCTGGTTGATGAACCCGAGGGCAGACCCATCCCCCCTATAAACTGCCCCCTTAAGGGCACCAGCGGCGGGAAGAGTGGGAGAGGGGAGTTTGACCCGGAGTGCTCCCATCGGGAGGACTTCTCACCGCACGGGGGGTCGGCGCTGCAGGTATTTGAGAGTCACTGTTGCGAATCCTCAAGAGGGGGTAGGGGGAGGGAAGGGGAGGGGGAGCGGGGGAGGGAGGGGGAGGAGGAGGGGGGAGGGGAGTTTGACCTGGAGTGCTCCCATGGGGAGGACTTCACACCACTCAGCCGATGCGGCTGGGCCAACGTGTTTGTCCTCCAGCCGATTGACTCACCTGTCAATCTCTTTAGAGGCGCCTCAAAAGTCGTTTCTTACATGGTGGCGCCTTAATGAACGTTTCTTAACCTGCTATGTTTGTATTGGGTGGGCGGCGCTGCAGGTGATGCGGGTGGAGGACGTGTTTGTGACGGACAACGGCTTTGCTGTCAACCGCTCCCACGTGTTCGTGCGCAATGGGTGCCGACGGTTCTGGAGAAAGGTGAGAGGTGTGGGAGGGGCAGCGTTGGGTGAGGGTTGTGGGAGGGGCAGCGTTGGGTGAGGGTTGTGGGAGGGGCAGCGTTGGGTGAGGGTTGTGGGAGGGGAAGGGGTAGGTGAGGGGTGTGGGAAGGAAGGGCAGGGAAAGGGGTGTGGGGTGTGGGAGGGTAAGGTAGGACAGGGGAGTTGTGAGACGTTTCAAGATAGGACAGGGGATGCAATAAGAAGTTTGTGCCAACGGTTCTGGAGGCAGGTGATGGGGAGTGGGAGAGGTGAGGGTAAGGGCTGGACATGAGTCATGCAGTCTTGAGAATGTAATGTAATATGCTGTATGCATTATAATGCACTATAATGCACTATACAGAAAGTAATACGCTGTATGCTCTTGCAGTATGGAACGCGCAGTATGCTGTGCAAGACGAAACATGCATTACGCATGAAATATGATGCATGCACATGCACTATGCATATACGAGCGTTCAACTGGGCGCACCTCATGAGCAAGAACTTGTGCCACTTCGTTGTTGATCCCGTGCCACCAGCAACGTTCAATGGCACCCACTGCCATACAGAACGGCACATTCTTCATGCGGCCAAACCCACCCCCATCCCCCCTTTGCCCCTCTACCCCCAGACCAGGTACAAGCAAGGGCACATGGCGCAGCACGTGCAGGGAGCGGCGTTCAACTGGGCGCACCTCATGGGCAAGAACGTCTTTTGAGGCGCCTCAAAACTCTCCCCTCCCTCTCCCCTACCCCCAGACCAGGTACAAGCGTGGCCACATGGCGCACTATGTGCAGGGAGCGGCGTTCAACTGGGCGCACCTCATGGGCAAGAACTTCTTCCACTTCACCGTTGAGCTCGTGCCGCTCTTTTTCATCGTCGCGCCCCTCATGCCCATGCTCAGAACGCTGCCAGTCATCCTCAGAAAGCCCCAGGTGGGACGCTGCCCGTCCCGCTCCACCGTCTCTCTTCTTTCTTTCGTAATGCAGTTTTATTATTCAAAATATATAGATTGGTTAGAGTTTTTTCGATCTCTCCCTCTGTCTCCCGCCGCTCGTTCTCTCCTGTGCGTGCGTGTGCATCGCCCGTCCCGCTCGCTATCAGTGGCTGTACTATGACAAGTGGGCCGCTTCTATCCTGGGCAAACAGCGTGACACCGTGCTGCTACCCATCTTCGTTTTTTACCTCCCCCTTTCCGCTCTCTATTTCGTCCCTCTCTCGCCCGTCCCGCTCTCCCATGAGTGGCTGTACTTTGACAAGTGGGCGGTGTCTATCTGGGCATACAGCGAGAGAGCATGCACATGCTGGCCTGTTTAAACCCTTGATGTCCCGCCTTTCCTGTTTCTTCCCTCCGACGCCTCCCCCCTCCCCCTCTCCATGCACCCCATCAGTGGCTGTACTATGACAAGTGGGCGGCGCCTATCCTGGGCATACAGCGCGACAACATGCGCATGCTGCCCATCTATTTCAATGACCTCATCCATGTCGACGTGCTGTACCAGGTAACGTGGTTACCAGGCAACGCGGTGGTAACGTGCTTACATATGAGTTAGTGGCAATATTTGTTTACATACTTACTCTCTAAATGCTGCCCATCTATTCCATGACCTCATCCACGTCGATGTGCTGTACCAGGTAACGTGGTTACAAGGCAATGTGCTTCCAAGTGAGTTCATGGTGGTGTTGGTGACTGACATACTTCTGAATGCTGCCCGTCTATTTCAATGACCTTATTCACGTCGACTTGCTGTACCGGGTAACGTCTAACATGCCCCTCCGCCCATCCATGCCCGTCCGCCCATCCATGCTTTCAGGACCCTCTTTCCTGCATCCGTAACCGCCACACCCTCTTCACACGCTTCCCCCCTCCCCCACCAGCCCATATACCAAGTTTGCGACCGTCCCAGCCCCTCCCTCTGGCAACTGCTGCGGCGGCGCCACCTGCCGCACCCACCTGTCTCCCCCTCTTCAATCCCCCTCCCCTTTCGTCCCCCACCTCCCCCACCTCCTCCACCTCCCTCCCCCACCAGCCCATATACCAAGATTGTGACCGTCCCAGCCCCTCCCTCTGGCAACTACTGCGCCGCCGCCACCTGCTGCACCCCTATGGCCTCCCCCTCTTCAACCCTGACTGGACCTACCGTCAACACCACGCCCCTCTCTCTGCTGCTGAGGCGCGTTCCTTCCCCCCCGACTGGCTGGTGGTGCTGGCGAGTCGGTCGGAGGGCGGGGCGAGGGCGCTGGTGAACAAGGGCGAGGTGGAGGGGGAGTTGGTGCGGCGGTTCGGGAGGGAGCGAGTGGTGGTGTTTGACGGTTCGATGCCCATTCTTCAAGGTGAGTTGGTGAATGGAGGGGGGATTTTGAGCCAACTAAAAAAATAAATCTGGAAAGTGGAGGGGGAGTTGGTGCGGCGGTTTGGGCGGGGAGAGGGTGGTGGTGTCTAATGGCTCGATGCCCATTCTTCAAGGTGAGTGGTGTCGGCAAATTCCTTGATGCGGCAGTTTGGGCAGGAAAGGGTCGTGCTGTATGGTGGGTTGAAGCTCATCAACATCTTCTTAGTGCCCGAGGGGGCCGCGCCGCTTGACATGCTCCCCACGGACTGCCGTGTCACCGTGTTGCTCCTCATTCCCCCTGCCTCTTCCTCTTTCCCCCTGCTTCCTCCTGCTGTCCCCTGCCCTATCCTGCTCCCCCCTCCCTCCCCTGTTTTCCCCTGCGCCCCCCTCCCCGCACCCCCCAACCCGTCCCATTCCCTCAGCCCGCTTGCTATTCCGGTGCACCCACTTCCTCTTGGGGGTGCACGGAGAAGCACTCACCAACACCATATTCATGCCCGAGGGGGCTGCGCTGCTCAAGATGCGCCCTAGTGAATGTCACATCATCCTGTTGCTCATGATTTCCCATGCTCCCCCTACCTCCCCTGTTTTCGCCTGTGTTCCCCCCCCCACCCCCTACCCCATCCGCCCAGCCCGCTTGCTATTCCGGCGCACCCGCTTCCTCGTGGGGGTGCACGGAGCAGCGCTCACCAACACCATATTCATGCCTGAGGGGGCTGCGCTGCTTGAGATGCGCCCTAGGGATTGTCACATCACCGTCTTCCACCCACTTGCTGCCGCCTGTTCGATCGCATACCATCTGCTGCTAGCTCAGGGGAATTGTTCTTCTCCTGCGGTGGTGGATTTGCCAAGCGTGGCCCGGGTGATTGATACAGTTTATACACGTTTAAAGGAGGATGATGGGGGTTTTTTTGTCAGGGAATAAGACGGTTTTGTCACGCTATGATGGAAATAATGAGACAAGGAAATAAAGCTTGACAAAAAATTGTTTTGTTGGAGGCAAGTGTTTTGCTGGAAAATATTATGGCACAATAGCAGGGAAGAATCTATGCTTATGATTTCACAGAGAGAACTCAATGATGAGTATGGCGAATTTCTCAAAAATCGCGAAATGGCTTCGTAAGCTCTTCCCAAACCTCCTCCAATCGTTTTGAAAACCCTCATGTTGCGAATTCGAGTTGGTTGTGCTCGTGGCTGGTGTATCAGTAGGCTTGTCGGATTCTCGGATCTCACGACGACGCATGCGACGACTCACGACGACGCATGCGACGACTCACGACGACGCATGCGACGACTCACGACGACACATGCGACGACACATGCGACGACACATGCGACGGCATGGGACTCTCAGCGCGAATTAGCAGCAGCATTGGTGAGGGGATTACTTTTTCGCGCGCGAGAGTGAGAGAAACTCAATACCGGTGATTCACACAGCGACGCAAGGCAGGGTGGGCGACAGTAAGTGAGGACGCGAGGGGTGCCGGCTCAAGCAAGTGGGAGTTTGATTCGTGAGTGCGCTGCGAGGCTCGTTAGGGAGGAACGCGAGAGGATGGCGACGAGGGAGGAGGGGGCGGACGAGGGGGATGATCCGGCGAGGGGCGGAAGGGCGGAGGAGGTTGGCGGGGCGGCGACAGGAGCGGAGTGCGAGGCGAGGGGGAGGCGCGGCGGGCTGTACCTTCCGCGGAAGGGGACTGCGGCATACGCGCTGCTGATATGCCTCCTCAGGTGCTTCCTCAGATGCATTTTCAGGTTTCTCAGGTGCCTTTTCAGATGCATATTCAGATGTCTGCCTTCTCAGCGCTCGGGTTCTCAGGTGCCTCCTCAGGTGCCTCTCAGGTGTTCCCTCTTGCCTCATCGCCGGCACGGCAGCCTGCAGTTGCCTCAATCTTATCCTCTCAACCTTATCCTCTCAACCTTATCCTCTCAACCTTATCCTCTCAACCTTATCCTCTCAACCTTATCCTCTCAACCTTATCCTCTCAACCTTATCCTCTCAACCTTATCCTCTCAACCTTATCCTCTCAACCTTATCCTCTCAATCTTATCCTCTCAACCTTATCCTCTTAACCTTATCTCCAATGTTGCCCCTCTCGGAAATGGGCAGGGCGCAGCAGCAAGGACAGGGCAGGATGAACAAGGAGCAGCTGGTAGCAGCAGTGGAGGGGAGCGGTCTCACGGACACCAACATGCGGTGAGAGAAGGGCGAGGGACGGGTGGGGTGCAAGCACGGTGAGAGGGGGGGACTTGGGCTTGTGGTGAGAGCGGGGGACACACAGGGAGGGAAGTGCAGAGAGCGAGGTGTGTATATGTGGTGAGAGGGTGGCATGCATGCAGGGGGGTCATGCAGTCGTGAGAGCGAGCCGCACGGGCATGGGATGGGTTATGAGGTGAGGGGCACATGAGCCTGCACGATTTGGAGCTGGTGCTTTGAGAAGGTGGAGCGTGGAAGGGCAACGGGGGCCGAGCCTCCTGTCACCACGGCTGTTAGGGGAACGGTGGCGCAAGCTATGGCTTATGGCGGTAGGGAAGTACTTGCCACATGGCATGTATGTGGCATGTGGTATCTGCCTCGTGGCATGTAGTATCTGCCACGTGGCATGTAGTATCTGCCACATGGCATGTATTTTCTGCCACGTGGCATGTGTGTGGTATGAAGAACCTGCCACCTGGCTTTTATGTAGTATCAGGGGACTAAATACTTGATGGCAGAGAGTCAACGACATAGCGAGTCAAGACATACTTAGTGCCGTAGTTGCTAGCGTTCGGGCGACATTACAGGTTATCATCATAGTCTCGCATGAGTCATGACGTGGCTCATCATGGTATCACGGCGAAAGGTAGCTTCAACGCTAGCACGTTGCTATCGCCCTCGTTTGCATCTCTTCTCTTTCTCTCTTCTCTCTTCCTGCCTGTCTCTCATATCTCTGCTCTCACCCACCTCTTCTGCCTCTGTCTCCCTCTCCTCAGCTCTCTCTCTTCTCTATCGCCCCTCCTCTCTCGCCTCTCCCTCTCGCCAATCTCTCTTGCCCCTCTCGCTCACCCCTCTCTCTCGCCCTCTCTCTCACCTCTCCTCCCTCGCCCCTCCTCTCTCCCCGTGTGCCCCAAAGCCCATCCATTCCGCGTCGGGGTGTGCCGTGCCAGTCCTTCGCCCACGTGGGGCACAACTACTACTGCGGCTGGAGCGCACTCACCACGCTCAGGCAGCATGCGCTGGTGGACTGGCAGAAAGGACGCCCATCCCTGTGAGTGTGTTGGGTGCTTCCCGCCCTGCCCTGTAAGTGCGTTGCATTGGTCACGTGCATCCCTATGTGTCCGCTAGTGCGTCACACAACGACTACTGCGGCTGGAGCGCACACACCACGCTCAGGCAGCATGCGCTGGTGGACTGGCAACGCCGCCGGTGAGAGTGCTGACCCCCGCCCTGCTCTGTAAGAGCGCTGCTTTGATCATGTGCTTCATCTCTTGCTGCGCTCATGCCACCCCATGCTGCCCAATGCCACCCGATGAAGCCTGATGCAGCCCTAGGGCCCCCCATGCTTCCCCGTGCTGCCCTGCTCGTTCCTGCGCACGATTCCCCGCCCACTGCCCTCCTAAAACCCCCACTATCCACCTTCCCCTCACTACACATCCCTTCCCCTCACCCCTCTCTGCGCCCCCTGTGCTGCTTATCTCTCAGCTACTCCCTCACTCCGGCAGGGGTGGCAGCAGCTCAGATGTGCATGGAGCGGGCAGGGCTGCAGGCAGGTGTGTGTGGGGAGACGGTGAGAAGGGAGAGGGGTGAGTGGGAAGAGGGATGAGTGGGGAGAGGGTTGATTGGGGAGAGGGTTGATTGGGGAGAGGGATGAGTGGGGAGAGGGTTGATTGGGGAGAGGGGTGATTGGGCTGCAGGAGAGAGGGCAGCAGCAGAGACATGCATGCCCCATGATGCATACCCAATGATGCATGCCCCAAACCCCATGCCATGCCCATACCCCATGCCCATACCCCATGCCCATACCCCATGCCCATACCCCATGCCTATACCCCATACCCATGCCCAGCCCATGCCCATACCCCATGCCCCATGCTCGATGCGTTGCACGGAGTGCAGCCCATAAACCCGTGAGGTCCAGCGCCCTCACTCGCCCTCGAATCCCCTTCTTTCCCTCTTCTTTCTCCACCTCACCCCCGTGCCACGCCACGCATCGCATGCCATTCAATCCCGCTACCCACCGTCAACCAGTGCCTTCCTCCCTGCCTGCCTCTTCCTCCCTACCTTCCTTCCGTTCCTAACTGCCATCTCTCTCACCCCCAGACCCTCTCGTGCAGCCGTCAGATGCTCCACCGTCCTCTACCGCTCTGCCACCCTCCACCACCGCTCTGCCATCCGCCCCTCCACCAGCAGACATGCCTTCATTGAATCCACCCGCTCACCAGGTGAACCTCGGTAATTTCCCCCCTTTTTCCTCCCTCTCGATATGCATTCAGTTCCTCCCTCCCCTCCCCCCAGCATCCCCTTCCCCATGGCTGTTTCCCCCTATGCCTGATTTCTCCCATTCCCTAGCCCACTCTTGCTGCTCTGCATGTCCCTACCTTCCTCCGTTCTCCCTCGTTCCATTCTTTGCACAATCACCTGAAGTCAACGTCATTCAGGTGGCGCTAGCGAAGTAGCACCGAAGTTGCTCTCACATCTGGAAGGTGTCAGAACTCGATTCGTTGCTCATGTACCCCACTCTCGTCTCCATTCCTCTCAACCCCTTCACTCATGTGTGCGTGCATTGCACGCAGACAGCAGAGGAGCAAGGAGATAGACCCAATTTTAGTAGGCAAGAGGCAGGAGTGACAAGGGGTGGGAGAGGAGGGAGAGGAGGGAGAGGAGGGAGAGGAGGGAGGGGTCGAAAGCGGCAACCAGGCAGTGCTGCCGATGCTGGGGCGACTGTAGCAGCCCGAGCCGCAGTAGCAGCAGCAGAAGCAGCAGCGAGTGCGGCAGCAGCAAGGAAAAGAAGAGCACAAGCACCAATAGCAGCAGCAGCGGTAGGAGAGGCACCAGCGCCACTCAGTAGCAGAGGTGGAGGAGGAGCAGCAGCAGCAGGAGAGGGAGAGGCAGTGCTGGGAAGTGAAGCCTCAGCATTTCTGGAATCGCTGCGTGCAGTGAATGGTACGTGCATGCATGCAGTGAATGGTACGTGCATGCATGCAGTGAATGGTACGTGCATGCATGCAGTGAATGGTACGTGCATGCATGCAGTGAATGGTACGTGCATGCATGCAGTGAATGGTACGTGGATGCATGCAGTGAATGGTACGTGCATGCATGCAGTGAATGGTACGTGCATGCATGCAGTGAATGGTACGTGCATGCATGCAGTGAATGGTACGTGCATGCATCCAGTGAATGGTACGTGCATGCATGCAGTGAATGGTACGTGCATGCATGCAGTGAATGGTAGGTAACCCAACATGATCGAAGTGATTGGCCCTGGAATAAGGAAGGGGTACCTTATCCCTCCCTAGGACCCGGGCTCTGGTGGGTCCGGTTCCCACCCGCGCTGGGTCCATCCGGTCCCCACCCGGGATGGTCCGGACCCCCACCCCTATCCTGGGTGGATCCGGTTCCCACCCGGGATGGTCCGGACCCCCACCTGGCCTGGGTGGATCCGGTTCCCACCCGGGATGGTCCGGACCCCCACCCGGCCCGGGTGGATCCGGTTCCCACCCGGGATGGTCCGGACCCCCACCTGGCCTGGGTGGATCCGGTTCCCACCCGGGATGGTCCGGACCCCCACCCGGCCCGGGTGGATCCGGTTCCCACCCGGGATGGTCCGGACCCCCACCTGGCCTGGGTGGATCCGGTTCCCACCCGAGATGGTCCGGACCCCCACCTGGTCTGGGTGGATCCGGTTCCCACCCGGGATGGTCCGGACTCCCACCCGGCCTAGGTGGATCCGGTTCTCACCCAGGGTGGGATCCGGACCCCATCCGGCCTGATGGATTCCCCTCGGAGGGGGATTTTCCAAAGCTTGAAATGATGGTAACCCAACGTGATCCGAGTGATTGGCCTAGGAATAGAGCAGAGTTAGCTCTTCTTTATCCCTCCCTAGGACTTTGGCTCTTGTGGGTTCGGTTCCCACCCTGGATGGGTCCATCCGGTCCCCACCCTGGATGGTCCGGACCCCCGCCCGGCCTGGGTCCATCCGGTTCCCACTCGTTTAGGATGGATTCGGTTCCCAACCGGGATGGTCCGGACCCCCACCACCCGGCCTGGGTGGATCCGGTTCCCACCCGGGATGGTCCGGACCCCCACCACCCGGCCTGGGTGGATCCGGTTCCCACCCGGGATGGTCCGGACCCCCACCCCCATCCTGGGTGCATCTGGTTCCCACCCGGGATGGTCCGGACCCCCACCCGGCCTGGGTGGATCCGGTCTCCACCAGGGTTGGGGTCCGGACCACCATTCGGGCTGGGTCGATTCCCCTCGGTGGGGGTTTTTCATTTCCCCGAAATGATGGTAACCCAACGTTATCCGAGTGATTGGCCCAGGAATAATCCAGGATTTGGTCTGTCAATAAAGGTGCCTCCCTAGTGCCCCGGTAAGTGTAGTTTTTGGGCCCCCTATCATGGTAACCCAACGTGATCCGAGTGATTGTTCCACGAGGAGGGTAGGGTAGCGTTATGACGTCCCCTCCCGGGGTCCGGCCGAGTTTGTTTTTGTTGTTGGTGCAACCATACGGTTTGCACTCGGCTTGTTGTCCGTGTGCGTGAATGTGTGTGTGTATGGAATGGTATGAGGGCATGGGATAATATATATTTCATGCTTATAATTGTGTGTGAATGTTGAGTCATGATGTCGAGTGTGTGTGTCGAGTCAATAGCGAGTTATCGCTAGACGCGTGTTACGCGGTCGTTTGTGTCTCGCGCGCGGTTTCTATTTTGTCGTGCGCGGTTTCTATTTTGTCCTGTGTCGAACGTTCGGCGTGTCGCAGGTGTGTGCAGCAGACCCATCAAGAACTCAAGGATGAGTTTGTGATGAAGAGCCCGAGCCTTGGTGTCAAGCCTCAAGTGATTTCGAAGCTCGCCAAAAAAGGGTACACCTCAAGATATTGAAGATAGTTACATTACTTTGTGTAGTGTAACATTTCACTTGGTGTAGGCCCTAGTGAAGGGTAGTTTCGAGACCCTTCGTGGTTGGGGACAGTGTGGCACTGTTCCACATCACTGTACCTCGGCTCTTGGGGTTTGTAGGAGCTGGGAGTCATTCCCAACTCGTAACTCTTCCTATCTTGTGTTCTAAGACTATAGTGGCTGCCATAGTACCGTTCGTTCAAACCGACGCTGTGTCGTCAATTCTTTATCAAATCGTGCAATCTAAATTGCTAATTGTAGACGACGTGAAGACGCTCCAGATCCAATTTGAATCAAGTAATTTGCAGCTGTGAGCAGAACGCTATCAACGTTTGAAGCCGCTGTGCAGAAATCCGTCTGTGCTCTCTATCTTTCGTTTTAGGCACATTCAAGCCTATTGTGACTATAACAAGTGGTATCAGAGGCCCTTGGAGCAGTTTCGACAATGTCTGGACCTGAGGAAAGGGGTGGCAGAGGTGCTGGTGGCAGTGGAGAAGCTCAAGCTCAAGGCCAACCCCGTGATTCAGCCATGGCGCCCATGCAACCAAGTCTTGGCCCACCTAGGGATGAGCCTAGGGTGTTTGGGCTTGACAAGTTCAACGGTGACAACTTTGCTGAATGGTCCTTCAAGATGGAGAACATATTTGACCACTATGACCTGCTGGAGGTGATGGAAGGAACGGAGAAGCGCCCCGAGAACGACCCGGAGAAGAGCCCGTGGGTGCGGAAGAGCGCACAAGGCTATCTCTTACTTGGGCAAGCGTTGGGGAGCAGTCAGATCCGTCACATCAAGCCATTCCAGCGTGAACCAGAGAAAGGACCAAAGGCATGGGCTGCTCTCAAGGGTGTACATGCTCCTGCAACAGCGGCGGTAGCGGTGGTGTTGGAACGGCAAATGGCGGCACTACGAATTGAAGAAGACAAAGCGGTTGAAGAAGGGGTGCAGAAATTCTTCGACTTGTTGACGCGGCTTGAGGGAGCTGATTTGAACTACAGTGAGCTCCAAAAGAAGACCAAGTTGCTGGCCTTACTCCCAGAGTCATGGTCCTCGCTCATCATCAACCTTAATCGCGACTTGCCCCGCCTCTCGCTTGAAGACGTGAAGCGAGCTATCCTTCAAGAGGATTTCCGCCGCCGTGAGTTGGCGAGTGCGGATGGCGCTGGGGCATCGAGCATCGGCCGTGGATATGGTCGAGGAAGAGGCAGAGGACGAGGGGGAGGAAGGTTTGGTGGCAGCAACTTCGGCGGAGGCCGCAGGAGTAGCGGTTACGGCAGCGACGACAAGAGCTACGGACGCGGTCGCGGCCGATTCGACGGCGAGTGTCACTATTGCCACAAGAGCGGACACATGTGGCGCGACTGCTACAAACTCCAAGATGGTTGGACCCCTGCTCAAGGCCAAGAGGGTAGAGGAGCAGGAGGAGGGAGAGGACGAGGCCGTGGAGGCCGTGGCGGTCGCGGTGGCGGAGCTGCAAACATGAAGAGCGGAGACAACGACAAGGACCCGAGCGACGATCGATACCCGGGTCTATTCTACTTCGTGTCGACGCAAGTACCGGCTGGTCCAGAGAAGGATGAAGGCTTTGAGGAGCCAGCAGCTGTGGGGAAGGTGACCCTACACCCCTGGACTATTGGGTGATTGATAGTGGCGCTACCTATAGCATGACACCTCGCCCGGACTTGCTCACCGAACTCGAGCCGTCACCGGTGAAGCATGTCACATCGGCTTTGGGGCAGCGAGCAGAGGTGAAAGGCATGGGCAAGGCCATGTTCAAGGGTGCTGATGGGAAGATGGTGGGCCTCAAGAACGTGCTTTGGGTGCCCAGCCTTGCTGCAAACCTGATTTCCGTGCGGCGGTTGGCAAAGGCCGGCATGGACACGAACTCGAAGGGAGCCAAGACCTACACCGCAAGGCTTGGCGATCGAATTCTTTGGGACCTTCATGAGGACAGGGATGTCTACAACGAGATGTGGCAGATCCCAGTGGTCCCTATGCCTAAGGAGAGGCAAGTGGCAGCAAGCATCAGCACCAAGGATGGAGCGGTCGGTAGCGACGATGGCGCGAACGGTCGCGCTAAGGAGAATGAGCTCAAGAAGAGCAAACCTGGAGGGACCAACAAGTTCAGTGAACCTAAGGAGAGTGGTGCAGCAACCAAGGAGCAGCAAAAGGGTGAGGAGAACCCAGAGTCAGCAGCGGAGGAGGACTACGGAGAGAGTATGTGGGGCGTTATTGCGAGCGCGGCATTCTCCAATCCAACTTCGGCTACGGGGGAGTGTGATTGGCTCACCTTGCATCGGCGCATGGGGCATGTGGCCCTGCCCATCTTGCAGCAGCTAGTGAAGAATGAGATGGTTGCTGGCATACGTGTGAAGGGGGAGCCCGATGAGGTGCTTGGCTGCCCGACGTGCATTCAAGCCAAGTTCACCCGGTTTCCGTTCCCTAGTTCGGAGGCAACGGCAAAGGCACCGCTTGATGAGGTGGTGATGGACGTGGTGGGCCCCCTGAAGCTTGGAGCTGCTGGAGCTGAGTATTTTCTCACCATTGTCGACGTCTACACCCGCATGACTTGGGTGTACGTGCTGGCCAAGAAGAGCGACGTGGCTGAAACGTTGAAGACGGATTGGTTCCCGATGGTGGAGCAGCAACAAGACCGTCTAGTCAAGTCAATCCGCACCGATCGAGGGGGAGAGTTCCTGAGCAAGGAGTTTGGGTTGTGGCTGAAGAAGAATGGTATTCGGCACTCCCTCACCATGCCATACTCCCCTGCAATGAACGGCATCGCCGAGCGAGCGAACCGCACAATCACGGAGGCGGCACGCGGGTTGCTCATTGAAGCCGGGCTACCCGACTATTTCTGGCCTGATGCGGTGCGGAGCGCGTGTGTGGCCAAGAACAGAGCCTTGACTCATGTGGGAGCAGACAAATGGGTGCCCTATGTGGAGTGGCTAGGAAGGAAGCCAAAGGTGGATATGCTTCGGGTGTTCGGGTGCATGTGCATGGCGCTCGTGCCTAAGCATCTTCGGCACAACAAGCTTGGTGCCAAGGCGGTGTGGGCCGTGCACTTGGGCATGGCTCAAAACAGCAAGGGATGGCTTCTTTGGGACCCATTCACCAAGAAGTTCTTGGTGAGCAGGGACTGCAAGTTCATGGAGAACTTCATGTACAAGGATTGGAAGGCGGAGAATGAGGCGAAGATAGGCGTGCGGTTTGGGGAGGTGAAGAGTTCCGGTTTGGAGCATGTGGAGCTGCCTTTGGAGCTGAGCAGCGGCAGCACAACCACAAGGCAATCCTCCCTTGTGAATGGGGGAGAGGAGGCCAATGATGCAGAGGAAGAAGAGGAGGAGGTGCAGCAAGTGAGCGAGCGTGCACCGTCACTCCCTTCCCGTACTACGAGTGCTCCACGGATTCGAGCCACACCGCAGCAACGCCAAGGCCTTCAAGTCCCTGCAGCTGAGGAGGAAGGAAGGGGGAAGAGGAGAGTTCAACCCCCTAATAGGCTGACCTATGATGCGCCGGGAAAGCAGGGCAAGACAGCCCTGGCCGGAGCGGCAATGATGGTCGGAGACGACGAGGAGAGTGACTACGAGGAGTGTGCCTTCGCGTTCTTCTCTCCGGTGGAGATGCCGGGAGAACCAGCAACTCTCAAGGAGGCTTTGGAAAGTAGTGATGCTGAGGAGTGGAAGAAGGCCATGGAGAGTGAGCTGAAGAGCATCGAGGAGAATGACACGTTTGAATTGGTGGAGCTACCGGAGGGGCGTACGGCGATAACGTCCAAGTGGCTCTTCAAAATCAAGTCGGATGCCGACGGCAAGATCGAGCGCTACAAGTCTAGGCTTGTAGCCAAGGGGTACCAGCAGAAGGAGAAGGTGGACTTCAAGGAGCTGTTTGCCCCTGTGGTGAAGCCGACGACGCTGCGAACCCTATTCTCGGGAGCCGCCATCAAAGGATGGGTAGTAAAGCAAATGGACATCGTAACGGCATTCCTTAACGGCATCCTTGAGGAGGAGATTTTTATGGCGCAGCCAGAGGGGTTTGATGATGGTAGTGGCAGAGTGTGGAAGCTGAAGAAGGCCCTCTATGGGCTGAAGCAGGCCCCTAGGCAATGGTACATGAAGCTGCGCGAAGTGTTGGAGGGGATCGGCTTCACTCCCTCAACGGCCGATCACTCCTTGTTCATGCTTGGCGAGGGGGAGCAGAGGAGTTTCATGGTGGTTTATGTGGATGACATCCTCATTTTCTCACCCTCTTCTGACCTTGTGAAGGAGGTGATGCTGAAGCTTCAAGACAAGTTCAAGTGCAAGGCCCTTGGTGACGTGAGCTTCTACCTTGGGCTCCACATCGAACGAGATGTGGAGAAGCGGTGCATGCGGGTGCATCAACGAAAGTACCTGGAGGCATTGGCTGCCAACTTTGGGCAGAGTGAAGGCCATGTGGCTACACCCTTTCCCTCTGGGTTCAAGTGTGTGAAGGGACCAGAGGAGGAGAGCGTTGGTGAAGAGGAGAGGCGCCGATTTCACTCGTTGGTGGGCAGCCTCATGTATGCGGCGGTAAACACCCGACCGGACGTCGCGTTTGCTACCGGGCAGCTAGCTAGGGTTGTGCAATGCCCTAATGAGGAGCAGGTAGCAGCTGGAATGAGGGTGGCCAAGTATCTTGGCCAAACACCGACCGTTGGGCTGCAATGCTCGGCGGCGGCACAAAGGCGCCAAAAAGGCGCGGATGGTGTTGAACCCGGGCGTTTGTTCCTCACCGCCTACTCGGATGCTTCATATGCATCAGAACCAGAGGACATGACAAGTGTGGGAGGCTTCATATGCTGTGTTGGTGGAGGCCCAACTGCTTAGGAGAGCAAGAAGCAGGTTGACCAAGCTTTGAGCTCGGTGGAGTCCGAGTACATGGCACTCTTCCGTGCCGTACGGGAGATTGTGTGGCAGCGGCGTTTGTTGGCTGAATTGGGGGAGGAGCAGCAAGGACCTACCCCACTGTACTGTGACAGCCAGGGTGCCATTGCTCTTGCTAAGAACCCTGTGTTGCATGGACTCACGAAGCACATGAGGGTGAAGTGGCATTGGACGAGGAGCATGGTAACCGCGGGTGAAGTTGAGTTGCGCTACATGAAGACCACGGGGCAGCCGGCTGACATGATGACCAAGAGGCTGGTGGAGCAGCAGCATTGGAAGTGTTGCAAGCTGGCTGGGATGGCTCTGAACTGAGAGAGCAACATATCCTAAGGCCAACAATCCGAGGGGGGGTTTGTTGGTGCAACCCTACGGTTTGCACTCGGCTTGTTGTCCGTGTGCGTGAATGTGTGTGTGTATGGAATGGTATGAGGGCATGGGATAATATATATTTCATGCTTATAATTGTGTGTGAATGTTGAGTCATGATGTCGAGTGTGTGTGTCGAGTCAATAGCGAGTTATCGCTAGACGTGTGTTACGCGGTCGTTTGTGTCTCGCGCGCGGTTTCTATTTTGTCGTGCGCGGTTTCTATTTTGTCCTGTGTCGAACGTTCGGCGTGTCGCAGGTGTGTGCAGCAGACCCATCAAGAACTCAAGGATGAGTTTGTGATGAAGAGCCCGAGCCTTGGTGTCAAGCCTCAAGTGATTTCGAAGCTCGCCAAAAAAGGGTACACCTCAAGATATTGAAGATAGTTACATTACTTTGTGTAGTGTAACATTTCACTTGGTGTAGGCCCTAGTGAAGGGTAGTTTCGAGACCCTTCGTGGTTGGGGACAGTGTGGCACTGTTCCACATCACTGTACCTCGGCTCTTGGGGTTTGTAGGAGCTGGGAGTCATTCCCAACTCGTAACTCTTCCTATCTTGTGTTCTAAGACTATAGTGGCTGCCATAGTACCGTTCGTTCAAACCGACGCTGTGTCGTCAATTCTTTATCAAATCGTGCAATCTAAATTGCTAATTGTAGACGACGTGAAGACGCTCCAGATCCAATTTGAATCAAGTCATTTGCAGCTGTGAGCAGAACGCTATCAACGTTTGAAGCCGCTGTGCAGAAATCCGTCTGTGCTCTCTATCTTTCGTTTTAGGCACATTCAAGCCTATTGTGACTATAACATTTGTTTGGCCGCAAATGTTGGTAACCCAACGT